AGTGTTTATTTTCACACCAAATGTAAGGCAGGTTTGCCAACTCTCTCCGTGTCACAATCTTTTGCCTTCTTACACTGCTGAAATAAATCTCACACTGAGTTAAATAAATAAATAAATAAATAAATAAAAGTAATATTAATAAATGATTAAAGCCAGTCCATAATGAATTTATGTTTGGGTCAAAAGGCATATTTTAGTCTTAGCATCAGACACAATAGACACCAGATAATTAAAAAAAAAACTCAACTAAACTAAAAAATTATTTTTAATTAAATGTAATTAATTAAATTAAAGATGCCTGATTTGCCAGTGCTGGCACAGCCCTGCCTGCGAAAGGCTGTTTAATGAGACTCACCAGTGACTGTAGCCTAATCCTAGTTTGACAAAATGTTACCCTGAGGTGTTTTTGTTGCATCCAGCTGTTTGACTTTATTAGAAGTCTTTATTAACACTCACACAGTTGGGACCCCTGCTGTTCGTCTGCAAAGGAAGGCAGTTGCAGCCATCTTTGCATGTGAAATACTCAATCGATTATTCCCCACACAACGAAATAGCATCAGTCAGAACCCAGCGGTGACTCATAATCTAATTTCCTGCAGCAGAGACAGGTGAACCGTTGCACACACTGTTTTTTGGCCTCAGCTTGAGTGCTAAGTCTAATCAGAGTTTATTATTTAATCAGTTTTTCTGTCAAATTGCAAAGCAACTATTTGTTTGCAACAGTGCAAATGTTTTCCCATAACTATAGTGTGCTCTATAATCATTAGTATTTAAATTAAATGGTCTTTACTAGGCTTAAGGAAAATATAATATTATATAATTTGTATACAAATATACAAATATGTAAGACAATGACAACAATGAAAATACATTTTGTTATAATACAGGCTGCTGTAGTTGGATGAATTATAACACATGTACAGAATTCTTAGTGTAGCAAGTCATTAATTAACAATTTCAAGATCAACACAGGATACTTGAGGCATGGATAAACTGTTGGGGGTGTTTAGTATTATTGTGATGGGTGGGTTGGATTCCACAGAGCTGTAGTAACTACAGAGGGATAAAGCTGATGAGCCGTACTGTGGAGATATGGAAAAAATGTGACAATTAGCGAGCAGCAGCATGGCTTCACGCTGAGAAAGAGCACTACAGAAGATTTGTGACAGAAGGATAGCAGAAAGAGTGAAAGGAAAGGTTTACAAGATGGTAGTGATGTATGGATTGGAGATGGTAACACTGACAAAAAGACATGAGGCAAAGTCAGAGCAACCAGGATGGTCGAGATTAGACAGAATATCTCAGAGGGACAACTCAGGTTGAGAAGTCTGGACATGCAGAGAGGCCGAATAGCATTGGACAAATGGGGGATGACATCATTTTTTATGATGTCATCACCCAGGGAAAATGGGTAAGTGACGCAATGTTTTCATTACATCTTAAATAATAATAAGCGATGTGAAATTCCTTTTACTGGGACAGTGAAGGGAATTTTTGTCGTGTGGTTTCCAGTTCATGGAACTCTTGGATCTTCCTGAACGCCATTTTCCTCTCATCTGAGGGGAATCCACACTTGACCCTGTGTGGATTAGAGAAAATCCAACTTGCACACCCAGTTCTTGTTTTAAACTAATTTCCCCTGGAAAAAGAACTGTTGAAAGAAATTATTAAAAGCTCCAAATTTCCACGACATTCATGCTCAACACGAGTGTATGTAAACTGCTGCTTGGGATTACTTTGGACCAAAGAAGATGAAATAACTTCATTTATTTTCAATAATATTTTATAGATGAGGTGACATAATGTGCTTCTCTTCGCCTTGTCAGAGTCCTTCCAAGTGGTGGTGAGAGGAAGTGGATTCCTTCACGCCCGAAATGTTGACAAAGTGCTGTGCAGCTTTCGAATCAACGACACCCTAACTAAGAGTAAGTGAAGCATTACTTATCAGGGTGTTACCCCTTATTCACTGCATGAGCTATTTTATTACCATATAACATCATATCTGATTATGCTGTTAAACTATGACAAAGACGGCTGGAAAACACAGATGAGTGTGTGAGACGTTGTGAAATTCACCTAAATTACACCGGCCTGATTTTCCCAAAAGATAAACACTACTTGAGCCACACAGCTGGAGTCCTCGGTGATCAAACGAGCAGCCAGGTTTTATTTATGCTTCTTTTTTTAAACACATGGTGTAATTTTATAGTCGGGAAAAAACATAAAAATTAAAACAGGAGATTAAGTTACTGTGACACCTGAAAGTCTGTTTGCGATGAAGCGTAAATGCTGACAGAAAACCTCTTTTTTGTTTTCTTTTGAAGGCTTTGGGAGTTTGAATTAAAAGACTTTGAAGGAGACGACGCCAAACCTCTTCTGAAACTGGTAAGTCTAGAACACTCACAAGTAATTTGGAGATTTCTTTTTTACATAACCTCTGAACAAAACTGCACTGTAAATGTGTTTTCTGTTTCAGGTATGGGCAGTGAACAATATTAATAAAATAAGGGACATAGCCCGGATGCTCCTTAAATTTCCAGAGGCTATACCTCCTTAATTTCAGTGGGTCACATCTGACATGCAATTAACAGTCCAGCTACAGTCTTTGAATATTTCTGTGGTGCTTTAAATATGTTTAAAAGATATTTAAATAGCCTTATTCTACAGAACACTTAAACTCCTCAGCATGATGAACGATTCCGTTTAAATCCTTAAAGACAAGAACCAGGAAGTTCTACTTAACAACATTGCAAACTTTGCACCAGTGCTGCTCAAGACGATTGCTGGTGTAGCAAAGAATCACGTATCCAATATCTTTAAGCCCCCTTCAAGTCTTCCAATGTTTGATGTTCTTCCAAATGAAGAACCTCCTTCAGACAGTCCTTCAACGCCCGATGTTCCACCAGTTGATAAACTTCCCTCTGAAAATGTGCCAGTGTTGAATGTTCTTCCCAGTGAGGAACTCCTTTCTGAAAGTTTGCCAGTGCCTAATGTTCCCTGTGAGGAACCTTGTGCTGAAACTGCATCCATGTCTGAGACAGCTGAGACAGAGGAGTCTGAAGACCTTAAAATCAAACAGAAGACAAAAAAAGACTTCTTCCAAAAATTAAAAATTCTGTGCAGTTGCTGTGTCAGACCGAAAGAAACTGACTGACAGAGAAACTGAAATCAAATTAATTAAAAATAATATTTTTTGCACAAGTCTCCATCTATGATTAAAGATGATTTTCTTTCAGATGTTTATAAGAGTCTCTTACGGTTCTCTAAATACCTTCACAAGTGTTGTTAACATAACATACTGATGTTAATATTTATAATAGAATTTCAACTTAACTCTTAACATGTCAACAACAGTAAGTGAAACTGGTAAATAACACTAGAGAATGCATTTCCTGTAGAAAATGCAGTGTAAATGCTAATAGCTGAATGGTTTGAGCTGAATTTTTATAATTGCTGAATCTTTGGAAAACATGTTTAGTGATGTGAAATACACCGAGTCATTCACCTGACAGCCAAAGCGCAGAACTGAAATTCACACAGAAGAACAAACTAGCTGAACATCTTGAAAATGTACATAAGAAAAACTGTCTAATGACAAAAGAAAATTAACCCCATTCTAGAAAACATCTGAATGAACAGCACTTTGTTCCTGTGCTGGGTATTTTAAAGTGCTTTATAAATAAAATTGGATTGGATTGGAATATTGAAAGCTCATATTCTTTAAATCACTGGGAGAGTGGAATTAAATGTCTGAACTCAAGAATCTCAAATAACTAACTATGATCAAAACACTTTTTGAACCATGAGGGTCCCAAGGACTTGGTCTACACAACAGTGTGTTTTGTATTTTCCTGGTGTCAAACATCTTTTATTTATTAGAAAAAAGAAAGAAGTCAGTACCACAGGTTTTATTTTTATTATTTTAATCCACTGAAGTCAACACAACCAAATGCTGACAGGATCGATGATTTCCTCCCAAACTCTGGTATCCTACAAAACATACATGAGCAGTAGTATCACACTAGGTGGAGAAGGGCAAACAACAGTGCTCAACATTACAACCCAATGACCATTATCAAGAAAGTTTCCCAAATGTAAATCACTTCACATTATAGCTTGGCATACAAAACCTACACTTTGACAAGGCAATGAGGAGGGGGGAAAAAATCCAGTGTTTACAGTATGGCTGCACAACGCTGTGTGACCGATACGGTTACTAGCTTGAGTGAATCTGGTGTTGACAACGTCAGGCAGATAGATAGAGAGGAAGGAAAACGATATACCCGGTAATTCATTCACAACACTAACACCGAGAACAGTGGACACATCATCAGCACACTGTGTGGGGGGTTTCATGTACATACAGAAGCATTTCTTTTTTTCATCAGGTCTCAAAAAACAACTCATCGTTTCACATCTTTAAAGAGCCTTCATAGATACAGTGTGCTATCAATATCTTTACAGAACAGGCAGGCAAGTATTTCAACACATATCCTAAAACATACAGACAAATCTGTTACAAATAAAAAGTTGCAAGCTCACATACAGTTTCAACCATTTGGATTGTTACAGGTGCAAAACGTGTTCTGTTAAAACTGGGTAACTGGTGACTCGACCCCGGCTGCTGTTATTACAAAGCTTACACGACTGCTGTGACATCATCTGCACATATACAGCAATGGTCATATATATTTTTATATATATATTTATAGCACCAGGTGCCGAGAGGTTGTGGGCAAACCTTCCAATCGAGCCTCTTCGACTGACTATATCCTTAACCACATCCAGTGTTGCTATTATTGGAAGCTTTTCGCCCAGACAACCTATCAACCAACATGAGGGGAAAAAACGTGAGGAAGAAATGAGGGAAGAGTGTGTTTCTCAGGCAGAACACTAGCAATTTCTCCCCCGGGGTGAAGCTAAATGAGTGGTTTAACCCTAAAAATACCCTTTTCTTTTCCTTTCAGTGCAGTCAGCGTTTTCCAAAATGACTTAAAAATGTTAAAACATAAAACATCAAAAAGACAATATTTTAAAAAAAATGGAAACAGAGTGCAACTATATCACTAAAGGAAGACATAGGTGAATTGCTCAGCTCAATACATGGCTTAAACTTAAAACCAAGCACAAGTTCAAATACTGCAGACTTGAGGTGTTATTGAAAAACAATATTCTACTATCTAATTTCTCATTTCTGAACAAACAGTCTCATAACAGTAGAAACAGCATTGTTAACGGTGGCAACAGAGGCTCTGCTTTCAGCTAAAGATGGCTGATGTCTGAGAACCACCAAAACATTCTAATACGTGGAAAACGAACAGCGCAAGAAGAACAACCGTCAAAAGTTCCTGTTGCTAAAATATTCCTTGGGGTGACTTTTGGGTCAGCTTATTGAGCCAAGAGGGCAAATAAACAATCACATGCAGCTGAAAATATACAAAAAAATGTAAACAAATTAATTTCATCAATAATCAAACTGGCCGTGAAAACAGCATTAAAAAAAGAGCTGCTTCAATTCACTTGATCCTTCCTCGGTATTTAACTATCTCGAGACGGTGAAGCGAAATGGAATAGTGCTTTCTTTTTTCTTTGCATGAGGTGACGTGGTGGTATGTGTGAATATTAATAAATGGTGTGGGCTGCATAGGGGAGTCGGAGGTGATCAGCAAAGGGACGTGATGTGACATTTGTAAGAGCAGCCTCTGGTCCCGTGTGGCCCTGCGACCCCCCTCCCTGGCTATGTGGAGAAAAAGTGCTTAGCCGAGGCTGGTGATGTTAGCTTTTCCACCGGGAGGAGCCACGATGCGTTGAGTGGTGCGACGAGGAACGTTGTCATCAATTTGGGCGCCTAAAAATATTTTCGAATAAAATATTAGACAATCTAAATGGCCAGCTGTGAAAAAAGGCAAACTGGCAGGTGTTCTGACTCACCAGACAGACTGAAGCCAGACTGGTGAAGGTTGCGCACAGGCTGGTGAGTAAACTGCTGTTGTTGCTGCTGCTGCTTGGCAGGGGAAGTCTTCACCGAGGAAACTGTGGACATCACCTTGGGAGTCACAGTCACCTCGCAAACTGGCCCGTCGTACAGACCCCTCGGGACTCCTCGCAGCTCTGTGAGCTAAACATAATAACACGGTCATTCGTATTATAAGAATGAGGTCTCCGCAGCTGTGGCTGCTCCTTAGATACACGCACAGGACTCACCCTGCTGCGAGCTTTTATCCTCTTGTAAACGTGGTCCGGGAAGGGTTTACGGCTGATGTAGCGCCCACAGCCCTCCGTGGTGTGAAGGCTGCCCTCCTCCAACACAATCTTGCCCTGGCTGATCACCACCAGAGGACCTCCACGCACTTCTGTCCCCTCGAAGATGTTGTACTCCACAGCCTGGAACACGAAGAAGTTTTATGGTTTTACAAGATTAGCAGAAATCTCTTAAAAGTCCTAAATAAGCTTTAAGTCAAGTCGGCTTCAAGGGGTAATCAGTTAACAAGATGCCATTTAGTATAGTGAACAGTGCAACAAGTCATTTTTTTAAATTTAAAATTTGCATAATAAAACAGAGGATATATTTGAAGCTTATTTTTCACTCAGATTCCTTGTTATTCTCTATCTTTTGTCACTCCTGCCTGTTAATACCATATTAGTACCTCACTTGCTAACACAGACCAGGCTCAGCATGCAAAGAGCATTTGAGCTTAAGAATTAGGTCACATTATGTATAAGACACACAAATGACTAAATATATTGGGAATCAAGAGTCGTAACAAGCTATGTAAATATCTGACCAGGTTGTGGCTCTTAGCTGAGATGATCTTAGTGACGTCTGGGTCCCACAACACAAGGTCGGCATCGGACCCCACGGCGATGCGGCCTTTGCGGGGGTACAGGTTGAAGATCTTGGCCGCGTTAGTGCTGGTCACTGCCACAAACTGGTTTTCATCCATCTTTCCGGTCACCTTTAGTGACACGACAACAGATCGCTTAATTTCAGTGAGTGTAAACATGCGGCGAGGTTTGCCGGGGATTTTGCTTTATGTTCCAAATTTTCTGGAATGCGTGAAAAGTGGGTCACATTAAGCTCACCACACATTTGTCCCAGATTAGGGACATCCTCTCCTCGGTGCCGTTGGTTCCCTCTGGGATGAGGGAGAAGTTATCTTTGCCTACCGCACGCTGAGAAGTTTGGAAAGTACAGTGAGCACTTCCGGTCACCTGCAAGTCCCCGCTACATAAGAAACAAAGCGAGATATCCTTCATGTGTGTGATGTGTAATGTGCCATTTTAGATTAATTCATCCGAAAATGTTTGAAATGTAACATTTTTATTAAGGCTGCTCATGGAAATGTTATGATTATCTGCTGTCATCAGGTGTTCGATAATAAATGTGATTACAGATACAGCTGAAAATTCAAATGCAGCACACAGCTGTAACATCTGTCAAATCACTGCGTTACAGCTGTTTATGTCCTAGCTTAAAGCACCTACCATGACAGCAGGGAGTTGAGGTAGTCGGGGGTGGTTGGATCAGGACTAAGTGGTGGAGAAGTGACAAAGGCTGCTGCCTTGGCCCAGTTCTTACTCCAGTAATGAGTACCATCTGTGCCCAAGCTAGCAGAGATGGGCTCTCCGTAAACCACAGCACCTGCAGGAGCAGACGGGATGATGTCAACGCTACGTATCAGGAATACAAGCAGAGTAAAAAAAGAGAAAGTATTTTTATAAGTTTCTCTTCTTACCCCTTTTTCTAGCCAGAGCAATGACATCAGCAGCACTCTTGCTCATCACCTTGGTGATGTAGAGGGGACAGTTGGTCTGATTGGCGATGGTGACAGCACGATTGACCGCCTCGGCCTCCACCTGCGGATAATGAGGTGAGACACAGGTGATTCTTCTGTTCCACACTATATCCAGGCTGTCGCTTGTCACTCTTAGACATCATCAGTCTTACCTCCTCGGGGCGGCTGAGCACGTGACCTTCAGGTCCTGTGATCCCCAGCTCTAGAATACGTCTCTGCTCCTAAAACATCCACAAAAACATTATTATCAAATACTGAAGTATCTGGTTTGACATCACTGACTTTATAAGGGGCTACGTTACCTCTGCAATGATGTCTCCATTCTCAGCATGAACCTGGGCGATGGCTCCGAGATCTCTGATGACACTGAACACCTCGTAGATCTACAAGAACATGGAGAAAAGTGGTCGAGCTCATTGGGGGGTGGGGGTCATTTATACCAAAGACATCTAAAAGCCTACAAAACATGTGCTGTGACAGACGACTCAGCAGAGATCCCAGCAGCCAAGCATACCTGAGAGTCAGAAAGTTGGAAAACATCCTTATAAGCCAAATAGACCAGGAAAGAGTTGACACCTGAAGGAAGAAAACTTATGAGAGAAAACAGCCAAAAGGTGGAATAAAGAGAGCAAAAGAGGGAAAAACCCAAAGTGAAGGGAGGAAGTAAAAAAACCAAAAGGATAAAAAAAAAAATTGCACAGCAAAAATTTTAGGTTATTGCAGGTTGATTTTCTTTCCTACGCAGTCAGAGAACCACTTTTTACAACAGGGAAATGGCAACATTTCACCACCCCAGTAAAAAGTCAGATAAATCTAAGATTTTGAGCCATACGTGGGAGACATGAGCTGAGTACAACTCCGACTACATACCATGGTCCTTCACTAAAGTCTCCATCTCTTCCTGGTTGCCTTTGTTCCATTCTGTGATGTCCACATGCAGAGAATAGTCACAGCAAGACTTGCTGTCAGCCCACTCTCTCCACTGTGTAAAGGCAGCAACCAGGCTGACGCCAGGCTCCGGCACCACATGGTCAACTATAGAATACAAACAAGCAGGTCTGATTTCATGTGCACAAGCAAACTGTTAAATTAAATCATACGCTTGATGGCATTCACATCTGCAATGTCATAATCCCCAAAACAACATCGCTGTATGTGTAAACTGGCTGAAAATACACGAGCAAGTCTGTCTGATGTGTCACATACTGATCATGGTTGTCCCCCCAGCCAGGGCCGCCCTGGTACCCTGGTAGAAATCATCCGCAGCCACCATGCCTCGGTCAGGCATCTGGAATCGGGTGTGCACGTCAATACCCCCGGGCATCACCATTCTTCCATGAGCCTCAATGATTTTAACTCCACCAGGAACAATAAGGTTGTCTCCAATTTGCCTCAATGAGACAAACAAAAAGAAAAAAAAATCAGGCATAAAGAAGTGAATGAAGTTACAAAAAGCAAAAGCAGAAAAAGAAGGACTTACTTGATGACTCCATCTTCCATGTAGATATCAGCCAAAAACGACTGATCATCGTTCACTATCTTCGCCCCTTTGATCAGAAGGCGGTCACTCTGAAAGGATGAGACAGCATTTTCTCAGCATTAGCTAAACCAAGCAATAAATATTTTATTTTAACTTCCAGCAGCCAGCAGTTTGATCCATGACTCAACAGAAAATCTTTTACCCACAAACACAGTTTTAGAAAAGAAGAGTGACCGAAGCTAAAGCTGTGAATATTTCCCAGATTGCTCAAAGCCTCATGCAAAGCATGGCTTGATCCATACCAATCCTCAACCTGTCTACATGATGACTAGGATTAATTTAGTAGACTTATTCATGCATAACAGACACATCATTTGAAGAGAGGGAAAGATTCTTAGCGCAGGCTCTTGAGTGACACAATTACCTCCACCTGAATGAGATGAAAGGAAAGCATAACAGGCTGGCCTACTTCTCCTAAAGGCTTTCTGGGGTCTCCGAAGATATAAAAAAAACGTTTTGCAGCAAAACTCACAGCAGGAAACACTCAGTGTGTCCAGCTTTACAGACTGCAGGAAGCATTAAGTGTACAGGGCATGGCTGACATGATCTCACAAACCACTGCGCTGACATAAGTGGGTCATTTAACCTGTGTCCTTTCTGTGCCCGAGTGGTCAGCAGCTAGTGTACTGAGCTTGCGGTATACACATACAATATCAAATGTAGTCCTCAACTTCCAAAATGAATGTGCCAACATCTAAATCATATATCAGATGCTGATCATTACCATAAACTCCAAAATAAGAAAAAGCAATATCTTCATCTTTTATGCATCAATTATCAGACAATTACCACACAAATATATTGGGTAGCCAGAATCGAAACTATCGGAAATATTAGCTATTTGCTGATCCATCGTTTCAGCATTTAGAATCACGGATATGTTAACGTTAAAAAGCAAAGAGGAGATGAAAGAAACACCCTTCAATTATTTGTTTGCATAGTTTGTCCAACAGATGGCGCTAAGGAACTTCCCTCCTGGCAACGCATCCTTAAAATGCACAAAAAGGGTACTCTGTTTCACCTTGGTGTGTCTGAAAGGAAAACTATATCAGAGGATATACCATAACTTTAAGTCATTGTTTTAAATAAAAAGCATTTGTTTGACCCTAATCTTAGTTTTGTGTTTTGTTTTTTAATTAAAGACAAAAGTCGTTGGCATGTCTCTTTTAATATTACTGAGTAATAACCATGAATCAACTATTAACAGACAAATTCTGGATATTGATGGATATGACACAGTTAGAGATTACAAAGAAAAATTTAAAAAAGACCTATACAAGAGCCAAACTCTATAAAAGAACACACAGCCTCAATCAAAATCAAGCTGTGCGACAAACAACTGCACCTCAATATGGTGCTAGCAGAGGTTAAGTTGCTGTGAAACTCTTAAGGCACATTCTTCAAAGGACTGCTATTATTCCTGCTTTAGTGTGCTTTGAACAAATTCAGCTAGTGCTTTTCAGACTAACCTTGGCATTTTGTTTAAAGCTTTGCAGAGTGAAACTATCTAGTTCATTCACTCCAGACTAATAGGTGGTGTTGTACTGAGTGTGAAAGCCTGGGAAAGGCTGGCTGTAGAGTTGCTGCTGTCTGCATGGCGTGTCTGGGATGTCAGACTCGTGTGTTTATGACCCTGGATCGACCTGCGAAGGACCTGACAACCATCTGTATGAAACACAGCCAGTACATAAAAGATTTTGATGTGATTAAGTGATCAAACATAAAGCTGCTGAGTCTATATGCTGCAGAATCAGCCCTCTTGCTGCATGATGAAAGCATAGGGTTTGGATGGGAGCTGTGCAATGACCTACTTTGCGAGTGAGGTTTTACTTCTTTTAACTATCACAGCAAGCCTGCTGCATTCCCCCTAATGATTATGTGTGGTCTGGGTGAAGAGCTGCACCATAAATCAAAGCAAAATTAATGTATATTAGCAAATCAGGATCTGTAGCAATATTTGACTGAATATGAATCAGGATTTTTTTAAATCCATAAACAAGAAAGAAAGACAACAAAAAAACACATAGTCAACTGAAGAGGGCAGGCATGGTGGATGCTGGAGGATAGAAGGTGGAAGATGAAAAACGACACAGTGAGGGAATCTGTGTCTAAACCTGTTAACTACACCCTTCAGGCTGAGGATGCTCTGAGAGAATAAGGGCTAATAATGGCAGCTAAGTGACCTGATCTGAGTATTCATTACAGAGAAAAAATTGTAAGACCCAGATTTCAAATGAGGAATTGTTAAAAGGCTTGCACACTAGCTGGTTACCATCCCAGGCTGTCGGTATGTGGAGCTGGGCTGCTGCTGCTGCTGCTGCTGTTGACAGCGTCAGTGTAAATGGATGGATAAGCGCTGGCTAGCTTTTGGTCTAAACTGTGAAGCTCACCGTACCCTTTATACACCCTTTATACACCTCCACTGCAGGACAGATATGATAAAATGAAACAAAACTCACTGTAATTCGTGGGATGTTCTTCTTTCCTTGGTACCCCGACATTTTGAAGCTCTCTCCGACACGGGTGCCCCCTGCCTCTTGGCTAACGCTAGCTAGCGAGACTGGAAAACCTCAGCTGCCAATGAAAGGATGAATGGATGCTCCGCTTGTTGGCCAGTCGACGCCCTGAGAGAACAATGCCTCTGTCTGAAAATGTCTCTATATATGAAGTCAAGTTCGCAGCGTGCGGCCTAAAAACAGCAGCCTAAAACGACAAGTTGTACCTCTATCTCGCACTCGTAGACCGTGATTCACTCCTATAACGGGTCCCTGAAACCCAGACGAGCTCGAAGGAGAGGAGGGCCACAATGAGGAACGGCGCATGCGCACTGCCCCGCCCTGCTCTGCTTTAGCTCCATGTTTCTGTCCTGATGTGATACATGCAGTTTGAAGGCGAAATATGTTTTGCACAACCTGTTAGATCAGACGGACACGTCAGGGGATAAAAGGAGTACTTTAACAAAAAGATTAATCTCCTGATCTAGAAGTTGAACAGTTTATACAACTGCTCATATGAAAGGCTACTCTTCTCACAACAGCATTTTGGCACTGGATTTACAGTTTGTGACATACCATGCATTGATTGTTGTATGGATAAACTTTTGATAACTATAACCAGTAGAGCTACAGTGGGGGAAATAATTATTTGATCCCTTGCTATGTTTGTAAGTTTGTTTACTTGCAACAAATATGAAGAGTATCTCATTTTTATGTCCCCCTCCTTATGTCCCATGGCTCATGTACAGACTCGTCTGAAGTTCTCCAGTTTGTCAGCGAAAATTTGGGAGAAAGCGCTGTGGTCAGATGAAACCAAAATTCAGCATTTTGGCATGGTTGAGGAAGCAGAGTATGATCCAATGAACACCAACCCCACAGTCAAGTACAGGGGTGGGAACATTATGGTTTGGGGCTGTGTTTCTGCTGACAGTACAGGATTACTTCATCTCATTGAAGGGCCACTGGGGCCATGTACCATACCGTCTTGGACGACTACCTTGTTCCTTCCATTTCTATGTAAGTGAGCAAACTTACAAATTCAGGAAGGGTTAAAATAATTATCATCTTTACAGTAAATCTACAGACCTTATACTGTATGACATCTTCCAAACTATCTGACAGTGTGTTTCTTCACCGCTGTTATTAACAGTGCACTAAAGAGTAGAAATGCTAATAAAAAGCACAACTATAACCCTATCTTTTATAAAAATTAAAACGTCCACATTCATGAAGATCATCTGAAACCTCTTTAAATGAACTACTAACAACAAATGAGGAAGCAACAGACATTTTATTTTGGATTCACACACATTCACTTTCATCCTTATTACGCTGAGTGCTTTGTTTAATGGTGATGAAATGTAAATGACTTCCAAAGACAGCAGCTGCATTTGTTTCAGCCTCTGTATTCAGTACAAAGTCCATTCAAGTTTTAACACACTGCTCACTATTCAGCTGTGCAGAAAGCCCATTATGATGATATGTGCCTTTTATACTTGAAAAATGAATTCAATTCTATGGATCTCTATTTACTTCCTTTGTATTTTCTTTTCACATCAGCCACTGTATACAGTACAAACTTTATATTCCAAAAATTCCAAGTATTGCACACTTATCAACTGTACATAAATCTGTTTTCACATGCACAGTTTAGGAATTAGTACGAGTGCTTCCAAACCAACACAGCCAACAGCCAATACTGTAAGTTATAGCCAATTTTTCCATATTGTTATGGTCTGATCCATTTACAGACACTGACAGAATAATCCAGTCAGCATATCAGCATCAATATACAGAAATGCATGCATTTTCTCCAGAAAATAATTTCTTTAAAAGGTACACAGACACTGTACGCTAGATGAAATTACTGTACAGTGAAATCCAGATTAAAATCTGATAACACTTTTAAACGAGACCCCCCTAGAAACCCCTTCTTCCTCCTCCGTGGCGATCCTTTCTGCCACTGAAGCTTCAATTAAACGACAGCAAAAACACATTACTTACACTGCCACGATGCATGAGATATAATACGCATTAGTATCACTGTATAAACAGATTATACAATGTCGGAAAGTATCTATTACAAGGGGCAGATCACAGCTTAAATTAATTTTTCACATCTACATCTTTAAATACCTAAACATATAAGAAAATGTAAAAAAAAAAAAAAAAGTCTCAAGATAAATCACCGATGTGCAGTGGTGAAGCATACAAATTTGGCACTTTGCCACTGATGCTATATTATGTGTTAAAGAAGAAGATATGTAGGCAACAAAACAAATAAAAATAGCATATGGCCTGGTATACTGCGTTCCAGCCTTTAGGTTGCCACTATTATAGCATATTCCAACTATTTCTGTAAAATTCTGGAGCTACATACAAGATAAATGTTTACGCTTTCCAACCTTCAGAACAAAAAAGCTTTTAAACCCTCTGCGGTCAAAAAGATATAACTTCTATTATTAAAAATGTGTGGAATTTAAAAACTGATCCCACAGTGCAGTACCCCGTCCCCCTACTACAACCACGCTTTCACTGCACCTCTAATGTTAAGCTCAATAAGTTAAGGCGATTCAAGTCCCTTTTGTTCCCAGAGCCGATTAATTAGTTTCTTGCAGATATTAATTACGAAGGCAACAGAGGACAGACGCAGTCCAATTTCTTGTAACTTAACAACAAGGCAAGTAAAGAAACTAAAACCCTGAAGCAACTTCATCTGAAATTCTCTTGTCTCGTATTTTTTAGTCGAACAGACGACGAATACTTTTCAGGCGGAACAGACTTTGTTACCTACTGCATTCAAATTTGTGACAACTGTGTGTACAGTGTTGTCCTCGGTCAAAATCTGATGGAGCGCAACCACGGTTACATCATGTGTACGACTACATCTACGATGCAATATAATTTTTAATGGTGATCGGAAGGGAAGTGCGGGTGTACAACAGATGCAGAGAGAGAGCTTGACCACACGAGGATGGCTGAGTGACTTGGAGAAGGGAGAACATCTAGGCACTGCTTCATTTTCTACTCAGTAGGAGCTGGTGGCGGCTGTTGCAATTCTCTTCCCAATGTACACTCTGGGAAAGAGGAAAAAGGGAAAAAAAGGAACAAAACTGAGTCAGTTTGGAAAAAAGGAAAAGAACAATAATATTTTGCAACAGTACTAGATAAATGATGATGCTCATTTATAACAAGTGATAGATTAAAATTAAGGTATACACTTTTATAAACATAACATGGAAGCTGTCTCTTTGAACGGCTATAACTTCTAGATATGATTGTTGCAGACAAACATATAATTAGGGCCACTTGAGAAAACTCCAGCTGGTGTAACAAAAAGCTCAGCAATGGTAGAGATGCGTGACTTTTGACTTACCCAAGCCCAAGAGCCAGGATGTGCGAGATGAGTAAGGAAGGGATAAAGACTTTGAGAAACTCGGCAGAGAAGATGCCGCCTTTCTTCATGACTCCACTCTTTCTCATACTTAGAGAAACGGAACGTCGGGGGTGCCTAAAGTGGAACTCTCTGATAGGAAAAATCAAATGACAGGTTATTTAAAAAAAAGAAAAGAAGAAAAACACAGCTAAAGACAGTCTCCTGACATATCAGTAAGTAGCTCTGAAAGCCTGGTTACTTTGGTGGAATGTTTTCAGGTCTGCTCGACCAGTCAGCAACCCAGTCTACTTCTTTGTTCATCAAAATGTCTTCCTCTCTGTCCTTCTCTGCAAAATCTTCCTCTGACTGCAAATATAAAAGATGAAGCGATTAGATCAATGAAAAAGACTTTAAAGGGTCTTAAACTTTAGAGCTGAATACATAGCTTTACCTGACTACCTCTTGGGCTGGACATTTCCACATCAAATGTAATCTGACCCTCATCCTGCTCTGGACTTGGTGGCCTGTGAGGGCTTAATCAACATGTTTGGAGTAAGAAAAAAAACTTCTCAATAACAAACACACATATAAGGCCTTGAAGACCAAAAAATGACTTTTCTTCCTACCTATCGCAGGAGGAGTTACTTGGGCTGGATTCGTGTTGTGCATCCAGGAGGATCTTTTCCATGTCCCCGTTGTGGATAGAGGAGGACGATGGCACATGCTCTAGTCCTCCAATTAGGGTCTCATCACTTTCAGGCACCACTTCCAAGGTCTGCAGAGTTTGACTCATACCAGCATTTGCGTTTATTTGGTCTGCAGCAGGTGGTGTTAGCAGGTTGGTCTGCCTCCCCTGGGCCCCTGTATTCCCATTTAGCTCCAGCTCCACCCAGGACCCTTTGTAAAATAAAGATCAAGAGGACACAAGGAAGGTAAGCTTGCTGTGATAAGGCACAAACCTCGCAGCTGATTACACAGCACATAGAGACACACCCTCAAATGGAAACAGCTGACCTACATTTTCTGCACCGCTGATTCTGCGAATTCAAATGAACCGCCTGTGCACCGCATCCATGATGGCACGCATTTCTTTGTACCACTGCCCCATAAACAGCCTGCACTCTTTTTTTTAATCAGCAGACGGAAGGGTGTTGCGTAATCTCTCGGAGCCTGCGGGTTTGTGTGAGCGCACAACGTGACAGCGTGAGACGCCCTTTCCCGAAAACAAAGCATGGTGTATTTGTTTGGTTCGCGGATGGACATAAAAAATAATAGATTGCACATTTACAGAAGCATTTGCCATCAGTGTTGCTCCCATGCGAGGTCTTGCATAACTACAGAGAGCGCAGGGTGAGACAGTTTGCCCAGACATGTCGCTGTTCCAGCTGTGGTGCTGCCACGCATGACGAAGAACATCCCGAGAGCTAATGTGATGGCGCTTTAGTCGCTTGAAGTGCGAGCACACCTTAAGTGTTGTTTTAAATGTTTTTAGCTGTTTGCCTGCATGCAGTTGGGTAAAAATTGCGACCACTGCCTTCGGTTAGATTTGATGTATAATCAAAAGTGCAAAGGGCTTTTGAGTAAAGAAGTAGCTTGCCCACACAAAAATATACGGCCCATTATAGGAAAATAATAATTTAACAAAAAGGAAGTTACAAAAATTCCCCAAAATATTCAGTGTTTTGCCTCAAAGTTGTTTTCGTTGCTATTGAAGCCCACCTAGCTTCAATCTTTGTACATGATTGGCCAGTAACGCGTCCATCAAAGCTTTTCTAAGACGCTATTGGCTCATTTGAGGTGACGTCAAACAACATACCCCCGCCCCTCCCAGTCGACGAGGAAATTCCACCCTCGATATAACTTTTACAATAAAACCTTCGCAGTAGCGGTATTTTTCACACACACAAGCGTCCATTACGAACAT